GCTGGGAAGTAGTGGAGACAGATGTCTCCTGAGCTTGAGGTTCCTACCCCACACGGTACCGGGGCCCCTCCCTCAGTCCTGCTGGTGGATTTGTAGGGTGAGGGGAGGTTGACCTACCGAACAGATGGCTTTGCCTGCTTCCAAATGCCCAGCACAGAGCATAGACGCCGTTATTTTATGGTTGTGGGTTTTGGTACACACGTCATTCTTAAAGATTTTCATGTCTATACACTGCAAATCATCTGGATATACATCTACAGGCGAGGGAGAAACAGGACTGTGTCTGGACTTAACGTGTTCCTTAAGTAGATATCCCCTCAGACCCAGATGTCTCAGCCCTCTCCTCTCTCAGACCTGGAAGTCTGCCCTTCACCCGACATGGTTGGTCCACACATACCACCACTTGGATCGATGCTGCCCCAGCCTGAGAAAATACAGGTACTGCCCACTTCAGGCTCCGTGGTGGGCAGGCCCAGAACCTTCACAGCATTTGTGATCTTCACGGGATTCTTCAGGCGAATCAGCATGAGGTCAGAGCTGTGGTCCTCATCTGGGGAGATGTAAGGGCTGTTCTCAGAAGTTACGTTGTAGCTTGGGTGTGGAAAGCTGGCGCTAACTTCAGCAAACTGAGCTGGATCTTTCAAATCATCCAGGTTGTGGGCGCCCACCCAGATCTGGAGATGCCTGAGGGAGAAAGAGAGACATGGAGAGAATGAGAAGAGGGAGAGGAGCCTAGGAGAGGGTTCCAAGAGAGAAAACCAGAGAGAAGGAAGGCTGGGAGGGAGGACAGGAGGAAGACAGAGAGAGGGAGAAAAGGAGGTGCAAGAGGAAAGATGCAGAGTCCTACAGAAATAGACTGGGGCAACCGAGACCTGTACAAACAGAAGGAAATGGAGTGGAAAAGAGAGAGTGTTAAGTGTGAAAAAAGACCGAGATGGGCAGAGATGGAGAAGAGTGATACATGGAGGAAAAGGACAGAAACATCAGAGACAGTGAGAAATGGGCACAGGGAAGAAGAGGGAGTGAGGAGAACAGAACAAGGGAGGGGAGTGAGACAGACATACTGAGAAAGGGGCAGACCTGAAGACAGACAGAAGGAGACAGAGAGGACCTGGGGGAGCTGAGATAGGAGGGATGAAGGACAGGGAGGTGGGGTGTGTGCAGGTGGGAGGGTCGGGGAGTGCCTGAGACCAGCTCAGCTGCAGCTGTGACAAGTATATTGGTTCCCCAGAGGTGGGGGCCTGGCCCCTTCCCTCCCAGGCCCCCATTCCTCCTTCCCTAGCCTCCCCCTCTCAGGCTCCAGCTCATTCCAGCCGTTCCTAGAGTCTCCCTAGAGCAGACCAATTGTCCTGGAGGGCAGGACTGGGGGCAGAGGGGACAGAGAGCCTCCTGCAGGTCCTGGGAGGATCTTTGGAGGCCCCTAGGCCCATCGTGGGGTGTGGATGTCCAATGATGGGACAAGGAGTTAGACAGAAACCCAGACAAAGAATGGTCAGAGATGAAGGATAAGACAGAGACAGAGATAACGGTAGAGAGACCAGAGATAGACAAAGGCAGAGAGAGAAGAGACCAAGAGATAGAGACCAAAACATGGTCACAGGAGAGAAACACAGACAATTACGTAGACACATAGAGATACACAGAGACAGTAAAGAGAAACACAGAAGAGACTCTGTCAAGGAGAGGGATGTTGTGGGATGGTCCAGCCCCAGCTCTGTGTCTCTCTCTTTCTGACCTGGACCACTACCTCCTCACTCTCCCTTTTGTCCCCGGCTTCTCCTGTAATTCTCCCAGGAGAAAGGAACCCTGCTCATTCAATGGAAGCACAGGTGACCCCTCCCCAGGCCCCAGGCCCCTACTCACTGGCTTTTGCAGTGTGCAGCCGTGAGCACCCACTTGGGATCTATCAGGACACCCCCGCACTGAGGCTTGTGGAAATCGTGCACAGACACCTGCCATGGTTGGGAATGCTCTTGGCACTCCCAGCCTCCAACGATGCGGGGCTGGGTAAGAGGCACAGCACCTGTGAAGGGGATGCTGGGTTAGGTGGGCCTGAGTTGGCAGGAAGAGCAGGAACTAGGAGGGGCATTGGGATAAGGATCAGGGCTGAAGGCAGGTGGGGATGGGCAAATGACCCAGAAGGTCCCAGAATGCTAAAGTCATACTCAAGATGGTACATGTGGGTGGTTGGCCACATAGATTGACTGAGAAGAAACAAGAGTGTCTGGTGGAATTTGGGGGTTGTAGGGTCAGGATTTGGGGACCAGATGTCAGGGACTAGGGGACATGATCAAGAGCTGGCAGCAAGTTTGGGATACTTTATGTTTTGAGAGCAGAGAAATCTCTAGGAATCAATGTGGGAGATGCCAAGATGGTATGGAAAGAAAGCAGTCATTTGGGGATGGGACAGTAAGTGATTCAGGGTCTTAGACAAGGGGGCAGGCAGTAATGGTCTTGAGATGAGGTACCAGAATCGAGGAACAACAGCCTCAAGGGAGAGAGTTGAGGCTGAGAGTAAGGATGTGGGTTAATGCGCCAGACTGCAAAGTCGTTTGAACTTCAAGCTCACCAGCTGCTCCTCAGAAACCACATACAGGGTCGCTATGGGTCCGAATCAACTCGACAGCAATTCACAACAACAAAGGTGGAGGAGATGCCAAAGCCTGGGTGGGGTATTGGGATTCTGAGCAGGATGCAGACTTAGAGAGTCAGGTCTGGGATGCCAAGAATGAACATCTGAGCTGGAAATTTTGGAGATCACTTTGGGGTCAGTAGGTCTGGTAGAGTTAGGATATATTGGGGTTCCAGCTCAAAGGATGATAGAAAGGGTTAGAGATAAGGACTGAGAGAGGGAGCCTCTAAACTGTGGGGTCCTGTGACTTGGAGTGGCATTCTAAGAAGAGGTGAGGGGTCTTAGAAAATAGGACTGGGGCCATGGCTAGGACAGGCTCTAGAGAGGAAGGGGTGAGAGACAGTCATTGCAGAAGAGACTGAGTTTCTGAAGGGGAGGGATGATGGACTGAGTGTACTGATGGGATATGGATTTCCCTATGAAGCTGTCTGGGCTGGAATGGAGAGAGATGGGAAACAGGGTTCAACCCTCTGTGGGTAGAATAGAGGACCTGCTATGTGTGGTGTCTGAGAATTACATTTTGGAGAGGGGAACGTATTGGGATCTTCTGACTCCTGAAAAGCAAAGTTGGAAAGATGAATTTCAGGTAGAAGAGCTAGAACTACGAGAGTGCTCAAAGAGATTCCTATTGGTGAATTTGTGTGCTGTTTTCAGGAGAGAAGGATGGAAGTGTTGAGGCAGGAGGGGAAGTCTGCAGAACCCGAGCACCATACCAGGATGGCGACCCTATCGGTCCATAGGTCAGATAGTTTACATGAGAAGAATCATTCATTTTTTGTGAAACTTTAATTTGGGGACTAGATGTTAGCAACTGGGGGAGACAGTTGAGAGCTGACAACTGGTTAGGAAAAGTCAGGGGGTTATGGTGGGATTTGGAGAACCAGGAGCCAGGCCCCTGGATCATTGAGATCTAGAGGTAGGAGGGGATAATCAGGGTTCCAGAAACTGGTGGCATTGGGGAAACTTCTTGGAAGAGTCAGAGGTCTCCAAGGAGGGAAGGAGACAGAGAAGGCTAATCTCTGCCAATTTGATAAAAGGGCTGAAGTTAGGGAGCTGTCTGGGGAAGACAGAAAGTTCTGGGGTTTCCTAGGAGGGAGAGAAACCTAGTGTAGGGGTAAGGACTGTGCAGAGGGCCTAGACCAAGTTCTGACATGGGTCTGGGAGATATAGGAAAACAGCTGGTGTCTGAGTCTGTGGGTTGGAGAGAGAGGCTGGGGTGCTGGGTGGGAGGGAGGGACTTAAGGGCATAAAGAGGACCCACATGAGTGTAGGACCCACTCACCCTCCTTCAACCTTCCCTCCATCTCACCTGTGCCCCCCAGGGGCAGGACGAGGTACAGGACCAGGAACCACATGATGACAGAGGTGTCCAGGGTCAGGCAGTCAGTGAGCTATGAGCTGAGAAGCCTCCCCAGGGAGACTTAAAAACCCTTATCCCCCCCCACCCCGGAGCCCCACCCCTACCCTGCAGCACCTGTTGTTCTGAGAACGCTAGGTCACCCTGGATGCGTTCCCAGCGACTTTGGTCAGACTGGGAAGGACCTGTAGCTCACAGGACCTGGTCTTGAGGAGAGCACCAGTGAGCAGAGGCTAATGGGGGACAGAAACAGGGGTGGTGGAATCACTGACCCCCGGTATAAAGTCTCATATGCCTAAGCTTCATGTCATCCCTTCACACCCCAAGTCTCAGTGTGCCCTCGGATACCATCAGTGGGGCTCTGAGACCAGACGTCAGTCCCTCAGCTCCCAGCTCTCCCTGCACGTGAGCCTTAGCTCATAAGTCGATTCTTGTGCCTCCAGATGGGAATCTGGTTCCCCAAATGCACTTATTGTTAGGTTACATTGAGTTGGTACTGACTCATAGCCACCTTATGCACAACAGAACAAAATACTCTCCGGTCCTGTGCCAACATCACAATTGTTGCTACACTCGAGCCCATTGCTGCTCCCACTGTGTCAATCCATCTCATTGGATCTCTTTTTTTCGCTGACCTTCCACTTTACCAAGCAAGATGTCCTTCTCCAGGGACTGGTCCCTCCTGATAATATGTCCAAGTGCATTGTTGTTGTTAGGTACCATTGAGTTGGCACCAACTCATAGTGACCTTATGCACAGCAGAACGAAACATGCCCGATCCTGGGCCAACCTCACTACCATTGCCACGCTTGAGTCCATCAATGCTGCCACTTGGCCAATGCATCTCGTTTCGGGTCTTCCTCTTTTTCTCTGACCCTCAACCTTACCAAACATGATTAAAATAAAATCTTGGTGTACAAATTACCCATAATCCTAGTCACCCCAGATGCAGGAATGCACATAAATTTTCCTGTGTCTCTCAGAGTAAGTTCCCTACCATTTCAACATCCAGTGTTATCCCTGTCCTCCAAACAATGTGAAAGTCCCAGTGAGTCCCCATTTCATTTTCTCTGGATCTGGACATGCAAACTTTTCTCTGGATCTGTCCTTCAAAGTTCCAGAGTCCTTGGATTCCCTTTCCTCCTAGGTTTAGAACATTCTCAATGCAGAATCCAATGCTCTCCTGTGCCCCCAATTAAATATTTAGGTTTCAGAACAAACTTGAGATACTACAACATTCTCTGACCTTGAATGTCACATTTTGGTGTCTCTGAAAAGAATTAGGAACTGTGTCCCTGCAGCATGAAAGGTAAATCCATAGATTCCTGATACATTATCTTGACTGTTGAGTAAAATCAGAAGAATTCACCTGGGCCCAGGTGCCTGATAATAGTGTTCCCCTTTTCTGCTTAAGGAATGGACATTGGCCAATTCACTATGGCTTCCACTAAGGATCCTTAGTGGTGCAACCATGAAGCGCTCCTGTGCTGACTGAAAGACTTTCAGTTTGAATTCACCCAGCAGTTCCACATAAACATTGTGATTATTATGTGCCATCGAGTGGATTCCAACTCATGATCCAACATACAACAGAATGAAACACTGCCCATTCTTGTGCCATCTTTACAACCTTTGTTATGCTTGAGCCCATGTGCAATCCATTGTGTTGAAGATCTTCCTCTTTTTCAATGACCTTCACTTTACCAAGCATAATGGCATTCTCTAGGGACTGGTCTTTCCTGATCACATGCCCATGAGACAAAATACATGAGACAAAGTTTCCTCATCTTTACTTCTAAGGAGCTTTCTAGCTGTACTTCTTCCAAAGCAGGATTGTTCATTCTCTGGGCAGTCCATGGTACATTTAATACTCTTAGACAACACCATAAATCAAAGGTATCAATTCTTCTTTGGACTTCCTTATTCATTGTCAACAGATGGAATACACAGAAATCAAATAACTACATATTTGGAAAGAGACAGTAGAAAAGTTCCATGTCATCAGCCAAAACAAGGTCAGGGTAGACTGTGGAACAGACCATCAATTGCTCATATGCAAATTCAGACTGAAGTGGAAGAAAATTAAAACAAGTCCACAAGAGCCAAAATATGACCTTGAATATATCCCACCTGAATTTAGAGATCATTCGAAGAACAGATTTTATGCATTAGACATTAAAGACCAAGGACCAGAAGAGTTGTGGGATGACATCAACAACATCATACAGGAAGAAAGCAAAAGGTGATTGAGAAAAAAAGGAAGAAGGAAAAGATAAAAATGGATGTCAGAAGAGACTCTGAAACTTGCTCTCCAACATAGAGATGCTAAAGCAAATGGAAGAAATGAGGAGGTAAAAGAGATAAATAGAAAATTTCAAAAGGCATCTCGAGAAGACAAAGTCAAATATTGTAACA